TTTTCTTTTAGGCTCCCGCTTTCTTAATAAACCCTATATTTTCAAAAATCATTTTTAAACATTGCAAATTATCCCTATACAGTATAGCATATGCGCCTAGGCTACAGACAGAAAGCTATGTACTCTTCAAGCAGAGGGATTTGCAAGTTTCCGCTGAGGGCCATTGAGTCACCCATGCAATAGAGTTTCCATCTCCAAGGAGCCAAAGATAATGAAAGGAAGACTTTGAAGGCAGAGACAGAAGCAGCAGGACTTCAAAGGACTTTGGCAACCAAAGAGGTCTTTACTGTCCAGTATAAGACTACCTTCAATGGTTTCCTGGACTGGAACGAAATATTTAGACATTAGAGTAGTTTGAAATCCTATAAGTGATGGGCATATTGCTAATGACAGTCCAAGAGTAAATTGTAGCATGTTCCCATGGGAATCCTTCAACAGTTCTTGGAGCTTTTCGCATCTCGGTTTTGCCATTGCTTGTGGAGAAAAATTAATGGGTGCCTTGAGATCAGTTTGCAATGTACAGAGAACGTTTTTTTGTTCCATTGTGGGACTCTGGATGTTTTTTCTATGAAAAAGATCTTAGTGCATAATTTCTGAAATACTATAATTTTCACCAAACTCAGTTTCCAAGTCACTGAAGGCTTATGTTATTTTTGAATACTCTTGCCTCTGACCTGAAGTTACCTAAAAAAGCTCATGGAAATCTGCAATTGTCTCTGAGATAATGTCCCATTAAATCTCATTATTTCCAGAGAAAGGGAGAAATCTTCCTGGACCAATAAGATGTCAACAACATGCCTAGGTTTGGCGTTCTGGTCTCCATCAGACTTTTCAGTCATAGCGGTAAAACAATATTGGTTCTGATTTGGGGTAATTGAAAAGGAAAGAATACCATAATAAAATAATATTATTTTTATACTTAACATAGCGTATTTATTCCAACATAGAAAAGCTCTTAAATTATGTAAAACTATATGGTTGCAACTTGCCTTGGAAACTGTTAGATGTTATTACTCCTATTTTCTAAGCTGAAAATGGTAAGTCATCTACCAGAAGGCAGGGTGAGGATCCCAGAATCTCAGAATTTCAGAGACAGAAGGAGCCTCTGAAGTCATCTGGTCCAGCCTATATCTGAACAAGAAATCTTTACACAATATCCCTGACAAGTGGTCATTCAGTCATTGCTTGGAAACTTTGAATAATTTGAGGAGACTTGCTCCCTCTCAAATCAGTCTTACACATTGAGATAGTTCTAATTCTTAATTTGTTTGCCTTATGTTGAACTGGTCTGCATCTCTGTAAGATCTACCCGATGCTCAATATTCTTCCCTCAGGGATAAGACTACAAATCTGAGCCCTTTTCTATCATACTTCCTCCCATGGCCTCCAGGCTAAACATTTCCATTTCCTTCAATTTGTCTTTGTATGACATAACTGCTCATACCCTCACCATCTAAACGCTAAATGCTAGTTATTATCCCAATTTTCTCCCTTCAAATGAACTCTAGCTTATCCTTGTCTTTCCTAAAATGTGGCTCCCAGACTGGAACACAGTATTTCAGAGGTGATCTGAGCAGAGTGGAGCACTAGTGGAGTACCTGATTCTAGACACCACCTCTCAACAAAAGACAAGGTAGACTTCATTGGGCCAAGATAGTAGTAGGGTTTTTTTTTCTTTTATAGAAAGCACTTAAATGCTGGTTGTACTGAGTTGACTAAATACTGCAATGTCACACAATTAATTAATTTGGAATTTGTAGTTCACTAACCTCCTCAGATCTTTTTCACATGAATTATGGCTGTCTGGCCAAACATTGCCCAGGGACCTAAAATAAATGTATGCCTGAGACACAGCATAGACCTGCTCTCCTGGCCTATATCTTTTCCTTGTGATGTTAATTTTTTTGAACCAAATGTATTTCTAGACACTATAGTTAAAATGCCCACTTTCACTATCATTTGTATTTTTCACATGCTATAAGATCTAGCCACTCAAGGAGATCATGAAAACTGGAAAATTGTAGTAGACTGTAAGCTGCCTGAGGGCAGGGCCCGTTTTTTTTTTCATTTTTGTTTTTCTATCTACAACAGCTAGCACAGTACCTAGTACAAAGAAATCCCTTAGGAACTCAAATACTCTAATGAGTCTGCAACCATATCCCTTTAGGATCTTCCTTCAGCAATAAAGATTGCTAGTTATCAATACTTGCCCATTCCATGAGATTCATATCCATATTCTCTCAAAAATTCACCACAGGAGGTCCACCATTAGAGACCTTCCTCATTTCATCCAATTTCTTTCCTCCAGTTCTTCTCCATAGCTCCTCATTGCCTTTGCAGAACATTCTGCTCATGCTTCTCCATGCCCTCTTTATGAAACTCATCTTTAATTCTTTGGGGGGAAGTGATGTTCCACTTGTCATTAAAATAAAAGAACTCTTAAAAAAAGTTAGTAATCAAAAGGTCAACTTTTGCATTTATAGGAAGCTTTGGCTCAGTAAACATGCTTTGGTGTATCCTGAAAATAATCCATCCCACTCTCCTCCCTTTTAATTCTGGACCCAATCCAATGTCCATCTGTAATGAATAATTCACATATTCATACTTTTGGATGAGATCTATGAGGTGTCCATCACATGCACGGTTGGAACTTGGGCATTAATCATCCACTTGTCTTTTCCTATGTGAATGGTCAGGCAGCACTACCGTGAGTGATTCCAGATCCCTTGCAGGAGACTGCAGTTGCTGGACACATTGGGATGGGTACAATCAGCATAATGCTATCCACCAACAGGGACATCTGTAGGCCCTCATCCTCCACAAGAAAACCCTTGTTCACTGGGACTCTGTACAAGACGTTTTTTATTGCATAGACACTTCATAAATGAGCACGAGTTGGATTTTAGCTAACCAATAGCATGTTGGTCAGATCAAATCGATTTAGAAATCAGAATTGCCACTTGGCCTAGGATGAAATGGTCATTTAGCAATGGCTCAGATTTTCAATCATTAGTCAATTGGGAGGAGAATTCTGTCTCAGAAACTCACAGTACTGAGGCATCCAGGAATAACAAGGCACATAGGCACCTAAGGAGCCCATGGCGGCTGACTCTTTCTTTCCATCTTTCTCTACTATGTATTCTGTAGAAGCAAGGTGATAGAAATCATCTCAGCTTGCTACTAAGTCGTGTCTCATTTGTAAAGGATGTTTTTAGGAGGTTACACAAGCTTTTCAAAGACATATCATACTTGCACAATAAGATGGTAGAAGCTTTCCTTATATTAGACTGGGATTAAATTCAATTCAGAAAAGTCTGCTTAAAAATTATTTAAATAAAAGCCCTTTTCAAACCTTAAATTACTTTATAAATTTAACATAATTTATTTTATTTTATATTACATATTTTTTATAAAATCATCATCATCATTATTGGCATTTATTGTATGGATGTAACATAATGTATTATTTATATTACAAATTGTTATACACTATGTTGCTATATTATGTATAGTTATTAGTTCATGTGATCTTCATGATGTCTCTGAGAGATAGGTACTATTATTATCCCATACAGATGAGGAAAGTGAGGCTCAGAGAGCTTGTGACTTGACCAGAGTCACACAGCTAGTATGTTTTTTGTTTGTTTGTTTTAGGAAATTGGGGTTAAGTGACTTGCCCAGGGTCACACAGCTAGTAAGTGTCAAGTGTTTGGTCTGAGGCTGCATTTGAACTCAGGTTGTCCTGACTTCATGGCTGGTGCTCCATCCACTGCGCCACCTAGCTGCCCCTGTTAGTATGTCTTGAGGCAGGATTTAAACTCAGGTCTTCCTGAGTCCAAGTTCAGTGCTCTATGTACTGTGTCATTCACTAGTGGCCTCCAGAGTCTGCAGACACTTGTCCAACCTCCACATTTTACAGATAAACAAACTAAAGGCCAAAGTGATTCAGTAAATTAACTGATGTCACACAGCTATGTAGGTCTGGGATCTGAACCCATGAACCCTGACTCCAAACTCAGCATTCTCTCCATTGCAGTCATAACTAAATTGAACAAGCCTTCATGAAGGAGCTATTCTGTGAGAGGTGAGAGGCAGAGTGCACAGTGGCCAGAGAGTCAGAGTTGGAGCCAGGAAGCGAGAGCGCAGATCAGGCTCTGCCTCTCATTTTTACTAGCTGTGTGAACATGGGCAGATCAGGCCTCCTTTCTGTGCTCCAGGCTGCCTTCGAAGACGATCAGTTACAGACAAGCTGAGGGTCTGCATCAGTGAGGGGTCTGCCATATTGGCATTCTCCTACAGTAAAGAAACCACAAGTTCGGCCCCACTCTACCCGTCCCCTCCTCAAACCCACTCCTGGGTCACAAGGCAATAGGAGCTCTGCTGGGCCCTGGGAATAAAAGCATAAAAGGAAAACGGGTCCACATCCTCAAAGAACGTCTATCCAACTCAAATTTTGCTTTTGGTTAATGGCCACATCTGCCCCTTAACATAAATTGCTCCCTTCTAAATCAGGGCTTCTTGGCCTTTTTCCATCATGCATCTTTTTGGCAGCAGTTTGCTGACGCCTGGACCCCTTCTCAGAATACTGTTCTTAAATCCACAAAATAAAATATAGAGTATTACAAAGGAACCATTTTAAAAAAATCATAAACTTCAGGATAAGACTCTGGTCTAAATCCTGACTCTGAAAGACAGCTGAAAAATCTTGAAATACCCATGTTATTGGAAAATTCTTCACTCACCCAATAACCCCACTTCTCCCCCCAAAAACCCTCGAGCTGTTTGAATAGTGTCTTCATGCATCCCAGCATAGAACAGTGTTGGGTTTTTTATGTCATCAAAATTTTAAGTGATTACTGTGACAAAAGGCTTCCCCCCAGGTCTAGTTCATATGCCTCCCAACATTGGACAGTGGACAGAGCTGCCAACCCCATCTAGAGCCTGGCATGAGAATATAATGCATGCCACTAATTCCCTCCAATGCTGAAAGGAGGGCTTACTTGGAGCAGTCTTCGCATACAATGTTGCCAGTTGTTTCCTTGATGGTTCGCTCTGAGACAAAGGCTGGATATTCTGTGTCACAGGGTTCCAGGGTTTGTTTCAATCTTTGGGCTATGGACGCAGGAAAAAAAAAATAACATAAGGATCCGAAAGAGATGACATGACTGACATCAGCAGCACATGGACATGGGGCCTTCCAATATTTACCATCCTGTGGTCTTCCCCAAAAGCACATGAGTCTTTGTTTTCATATTAATCAAGACCTTTGTCAAGCAACTCTGTAAACTGCTCTTCCATTGGGTGTCATATGGGCATTATCATATACTAAAACATGATAAGAGTTTCACTTCATCATGCAAATATTCGTTTCTCCAATTATAACCAGTCTTGTTCTTGTACAACATGTGCACACAGACACAATCACGTATAGATTACACATGATGTATTTATAGAGTGAGGGAGAGGTCGCTCTGCAGTTTCATGACTATTGTGTAAGGAAAATGATAGTGTCAGACCTTGAATAAGCAATTTATTTTTTCATGCCAGACACAAACCAACCCCACGTTATGCATTGGCCTGAATTATACATGCTTCTCTGTACATGAGTGGGATTAGCTAACTCTCCATGCTCATTCAATCCATGTTTGTGAACACCTACTGTGTGTAAAGCACTTATAACTGCCAATTCTCCCTTATGTTTACAAATTCATTCAGTTAGATCATATTCCCTATCATAATTTCCAATGAGATTCTAGACTGTTAAGGGGAGAAGCACTGGGAGGCAGAAAAGACAACTAGACTTTCAGTCTGAACTGGGTTGGAAACGTGGTTCTGACCATCACTCCCTGGGTGATGAGGGCAAGTCACTTATGCTGTCTGAGACACAGGTAATTATCAGGTGGCGCAGTCTACAGAGAGTCAACCTTGGAGTCCAGAAGAGTTAGTTCAAATCGTGCCTCTGACACATTGCTTTTAACACCTTGGACAATTTATCTGAAGTATCAGGGCCCCAGACAATTTTGAGGAACTATAAACTTCAGAGAAGTTATCTATCTTAATTGGTCCAGGGAAATTACGTACTAGGGTTCCTGTTACAAATGAAACTATACATCTGGGGCAAACCAAATGAATTTCTTTGTGATGCCTACTTCCATAGAACAGTTTGGAGGAAAGCTTTGCAAATATCTAGTATGAAGCAGATGTGAATGATTCTCATCTTTCTTATCACTGCCATCTTCTTCATCATGATTAGTCCATACTTTTTATTTCAGTGGTAGAGGGACCTTCTGGCATGGAAAATCCTTTTTTCTTTTTCTTTTTTTTTTTAAATGTAATCATCATTATTGATATTTTCTCCATCACTTTCTCTTTTTGATATTTATTTTTATTTTTTTTCTTCAGTTACATGTAAAAACAAGTTTAACATTCATTCTTTAAAACTTTGAGTTATAAATTCTCTCATTTCCTCCCTTCCTCCCCACCCCTCATTGAACAAGCAGTTTGATATAGATTATACATGTGTAGTCATGCAAAACATATCCATAATAGTCATGTTGTGAAAGAAAACAGACAAAAAAAACTAAAGAAAAATAAAGTAAAAGGAAAAAAAAGTGTGCTTCAATCTGTGTTCAGACACCAACAGTTCTTTCTCTTGGGATGGAGAGCATTTTTCATCCTAAGTCCTTCCGAGTTTTCTTGGATCATTACACAGCTTAAAATAGCTAAGTTATTCACAGCTGATCATCTTACAATGATGTTGTTACTTTGTACATACTATGTTTCAATATGTATCAGCTTCTGCAAGTCTTTCCAGGTTTTTCCCAGAGCATTCTGCTCATCATTTCTTACAGCAAAATAGTATTCCATCTTAATCACATATCATAATTTGTTCAGCCATTCCCCAATTGGTGGGCATCCCTTCAGCTTTTAATTCTTTGTCCTCAGAAATGAGCTGCTATAAATATTTTTGTGCATATAAGCCTTTTTTCCTTTTTTCTTTTAAATCTCTTTTAGGATAGAGACCTAGTAATGGTATTGCTGGGTCAAAGGGTATGCACGGTTTTATAGTCTTTTGGGAATAGTTCCAAATTGTTCTACATAATGGTTGAATCTGTGCACCAATACTGCATTAATGCATTAACTCAACCAACAATGCATTAATGTCTCATTTTTCCCACATCCCTCCAATATTTGTCATTTAACTTTTCTGTCCTCCTGTTAGCCAATCTAATCAGTAGTACCTCAGAATTATTTTAATTTGCATTTCTCCAATCCATCTTATTTTAGAGTATTTTCACATATGTCTGTAGATAGCTTCGATTACTTTACCTGAAAACTGACCATATCTTTTAAATATTCATCAATTGGAGAATGGCTTTTATTTTTTATATATTTGACTTAGTTCTCTATATTTCTGAGAAATAAGGACTTTGTCAGAGAAAAGTCTTTTTTTCCCACAGTTACTATTACTAACTGTATTTCCCTCCATTCTATTTCCCCATTTATTCTATTCTCTCTCCTTTTACCCTGTCCCTCTTCAAAAATGCTTTGCTTCTAACTACCCCCTCATCTAATCTGCCCTCCTTTGTATCACCCCCTCCTTCTCTTATCCCCTCCCCCTCCTACTGTCCTGTAGGATAAGATAGATTTCTATACCCAACTGAGTGTGTGTTATTCCCTTTTTGAGCCAATTTGGATGAGAGTAAAGTTCTCTCAGTTCCCCTCCTCTCTCACCTCTTCTCCTTCACTGTAAAAGCTTTTTCTTGCCTCTTTTATGGGAGATGATTTACCCTATTCTACCTCTTCCTTTCTCTTTCTCCCAGTGTATTCCTCTCTCACCCCTTAATTTTATTTTTTTTTACGTATCATCCCTTCATATTCAACTCACACTGTGCCCTCTATTTATACTCCTTCTAACTACACTAATAATGAGAAAGCATTTATGAGTTACAAATATCATCTTCCCAAGTAGGAATGTAAACAAACTATTAAACCTTTTTAAGTCCCTTATGATTTCCCTTTCCTGTTTACCTTTTTATGCTTCTCTTGAGTCTCTTATCCGAAAGTCAAATTTTCTATTCAGCTCTAGTCTTTTCATCAAGAATGCTTGAAAATCCTCTATTTTATTGGACATCTATTTTCCCCTGAAGGATTATACTCAGTTTTGCTGGGTAGGTGATTCTAGCTCCTTTGCCCTCTGGAATATCATTTTCCAAGCCCTCTGATCCTTTAATTTGGAAGCTGCTAAATCTTATGTTATTCTGACTGAGGCTCCACCATACTTGAACTGTTTCTTTTTGACTGCTTCCAATATTTTCTCTTTGAACTGGGAACTCTTGAATTTGGCTATAAGATTCCTCACAGTTTTCATTTTGGAATCTCTTTCAGGAGGTGATCAGTGGATTCTTTAAATTTCTACTTTATCCTCTGGTTCTAGAACATTGGGCAGGTTTCTTTGATAATTTCTTGAAAGATAATGTCTAGGCTATTTTTTTTTACTATGGCTTTCAGATTGTTCAATAATTTTTAAATTATCACTCCTGGATTTTTTTCCATGTCAGTTTTTTTTCCTCATTGAGCTATTTCATATTGTTTTACATTTTTTTCATTCTTTTGGCTTTGTTTCATTGTTTCACGATTTTTCATAAAGTCATTAGCTTCCACTTGCTTCATTCTAATTTTTAATCAATTATTTTCTTTAGTGAGTGTTTGGATCTCCTTTTCTATTTGGCCAATTCTGCTTTTTAAGGCATTCTACTCCTCATTTACTTTTTGCACCTCTTTCACCATTGGGTATAGTCTGCTTTTTAAGATGTTATTATCTTCAGTATTTTTTCTTGTGTATCTCCTTTACCAAGCTGTTGACTTGTTTTTCATGATTTTCTTGCATCACTCTCATTTTTCTTACTATTTTTTCCTCTACTTCTCTTACTTGATTTGCAAAATCCTCTTTGAGTCCTTGAAGGGCCTGAAATCGATTCATATTTTTCGTAGAGGGTTTGGATGTAGTAGCTTTGATTTTGTTGTCTTCTTCCGGGTGTGTATTTTGATCTTCCTTGTCACCATAGTAACTTTCTATAGTCAGAGGGTTTTTTTTTTTCCCCGTGCTTGTTTCCCCAGCCTATTATTTGACTTTAATCTGTTTATTAAAGTAGAGCTCTGCTTCCAGGGTGGAGGGCACACTGTCCCAAGCTTTGGAATTTTGTGCAGCTGTTTTCAGAGATATTTCTGGGGACCTGTAAGTTTTCAATGCTTTCAAGGTGGTATGATTCAAGGAGAGGTGTTTACTCCTGTCCTGGCCTGTACTCTGGTCTGTGAGCTACCACAAGTACTCTTTTCTGCCCTGGAACTGTGAGGAGGGTCCCTCCTCCACTATCACTGTAAGCTTTGCTGTGCTAGTGGTCCTTCTCACCCTGGAACTGCCACCCAGGACTGTGACCCAGATCCAAGTATGAACAAATCAACAGAGTTCTGCCTCAGAGCCAGTAAAAAGACCCCTGTAATACCCTGACCAGTTGTTCAACCCCCTTACCAACTATGGGCAGAGAGCTCTGGAAGCAGCCATGGCTGCTGCTGCTGCTGATTCTGTCACTCTGAAATCCTGCTCCTGGTTTCCCAGGGCTGGGGCTATGCTGGTACACCCTGTGCTGGACTGTGCTTCACTCTTACCCAGGTGCAATATCCCCTTCCTGCTGACCTTCTAAGTTGTCTTTGGAGTGTGTGGGCTGAGAGGTCTTGAAAGCTCCACTGCTGCCAGTGATTCAGTTTGCCCAGAGGCCTGCTCCTAGCTTGTTGGGGCCCGGTGTGCCCTGGCAGGACCTGCATTGAATTGCAGTCCTCTTTCTTATTCTGGTTCAACAGACCTTTCCTGTCAACTCTCCAAGTTGTCTTGGGCTGGGAATTTGTTTCACTCCATCTTTTTGTGTGTTTTGTTGCTCTAGAATTTGTTTAGAGTCATTTTTACAGGTATTTGGAGGGTTTTGTGGGAGAACTCAGGCAAGTCCCTGCCTTTACTTCACCATTTCAGAAAATCCTTTTTCTAAGACAGACATCTCCTTTTTAACACAGAGTCTTAAACTTACTAATGGCAAAAAGAAGTTAAGAGCTTTGAC